ACTGCTTTTAAAATCATAAGCTTCTAGCCGAGGGGTGGTGGCTCATGTCTAACCCAGCAAAGGGAGGAAGAGGCAGGAGGATTTCTGTGAGCTTAAGGCCAGCCTGGTCTAAAGAGCTAGTTCCAGGACAAGGCCCAAAGCTACAGAGAAACCCAGTCTCAAAAAAACCAAAACCAAACAAAAAACCCATAAGTTTCTACATACAATTTTTTTTTTCAAAAAAGGTTTTCTCTGTGTGGCCCTGGCTGTCCTGGAACTCACTCTCTAGACCAGACTGACCTCAGACTCAGAGAGATCCAACTGTTGGTGCCTCCTGAGTGCTGAAATTAAAGGTGTGTGCCACCACCACTCAGATACATACAAGTTTTGTGGAAATACACTTGTTTAATATTTTTATTGTATGGGTGAGAGAGAGGGAGGGAGAGAGACTGCACAAACATACCACAATGTTCTCTGGGAGCTCAGAGGACAACTTGAGGGAGCTGGTTCTCTCCTCCCTGTAGAAGGCCGCAACCACACTCTCCACCATAGATGGCGCTGCACCGCCAGGTGAGCTAGAAAGCTCACACGTGTTGGTAACTTTCCACTACTCCCAAGGTATCACCTGGGACTGGGAGCAGTTGACCAATCCAAGAGTGACACGTTCCGAAGCAGGGTCTGTTTCCTATATAAGGGATGGGTTCCATCTTATCTGGGTCTCCGCCATGTGGCTTATGCTCTAGCTCCCAAGAGGATTAAAGCCATTTCTGCAGAAGAATCCTGTGTCCCGCATGGTTCTTGCAGGCGAGGCCGAGCGCGGGGCACCTCCCACCATGGAAGTTCTGAGGATTGAACTCAGAATATCAGGCTTGGCATCTTACCCACTGAGCCATCTTGCTGGCCCAGAAATGTACATTTTATTTTATTTGGAATTGCTGGACCCTTGGTAGATCTATAAGCCAATCAATTTTGAAAGACAAAGGAAATAGAGCCAATACAAAGGAGAGGGGATTGCTGCAGGTCTTACAGTAAAGACGAGACGGAATGAAGCAGGCATAACCTCCACTCTTCCACACTTAAGCCTCGGCAGATCATTATGTCATTTCCTGATGGTTCCTGTAGCCAGACTCAGGTTATACAAAAGACTATCTAGTGTCATGTTTTGGGGTGGAGGTGCGTTCCATGAGCCCAACCTCATTCCATGCCAGGGTGTTGGTGGGTCTAATCTTGTGCAGATCTTGAAAAGATAATCTCAGCTACTGTGAATTCAAGGGAGCAACAGCCTGAATGCAACCAGAAGTCATTGTTCTACATCACCTACCCCCATGATCTGGCTCTTACTTTCTTTTTGTCCCCTTGTGGTGGTTTGACTAGGAATGATCCCCATAGACTCAGGTGTTTGAATGCTTGTCCCGTAGGGAGTGGCACTATTAGGAGGTGTGGCCTTGATGGAGTAGTGTAGCCTTGGAAGAAGCTGTCACTGTGGAGGCAGGCATTGACATCTCTGATATGCCCAAACTATGCCCAGCGTGGAAAAGTCTCCTTCTGCTGCCTGCGGATCAAGATGTAGAACTCTCAGCTCCTTCTCCAGCACCATGTCTGCCTGCATGCCATCATGCTTCTCACCATGATGACAATAGACTAAACCTCTGAAACTGTAAGCCAGCCCCAATTAAATGTTTTCCTTTATAAGAATTTCCATGGGGCTGGAGAATGGCTCAGTGGTTAAGAGCACTGACTGTTCTTCCAGAGGATCTGGATTTAATTCCCACTACCCACAAGGAAGCTCACAACTGTAATTCCAATTTCAGGGACTCTGATATCCTCACACAGACGTACATGCAGGCAAAACACTAATGCACATAAAAATAAATAAATCTTTAAAAGAAAAAAAAAGAGTTGCCATGGTTCATACACCTTTAATCTCAGTCCTCAGGGAGGCAGAGGCAGATGGATCTCTGTGAATTCGAGGCCAGCCTGGTCTACAGCGTGAGTCCCAGGACAGCCAAGACTACACAGAGAAACCCTGTCTCAGAAAACAAAACAAGAGTTGCCATGGTCACATTGTCTCTTCATGGCAACAGAAACCCTGATTAAGACAACAGTCATGGGTTTTTGGCAGAGTTTTCTGGCTGGTTACTTTGGGCTTTGTTATTGTTTTTGGTCAACTTGACCAAGCTATGGTCATCTGGGAAAGGAAACCTCAACTGAGAAAACACCTCCATCAGACTGGCCTGCAGGCAAGATCATGGGGCACTTTCTTGATTAACGACTTGGTGTGGGAGGGTATAGCTCACTGAGGGTGGTGTCACCTGTGGGCAGGCAGACCTAAGCTGTAGAAGAAGCCATGAGGAGCAAGCATTTGTCCATTGTCTCTGCGTCAGTTCATGCATTCAGGTTCCTTCTCTGAATCCCTGCCTTTGCGTCCCTCGGTGATCAGAACAGGTAGGCCCAATAAACTCTTTCCTTACCAAGTTGCTTTTGGTTAGAATGTTTTTATCACAGCAATAAAAACCTAACTAGGACACTGACAGGGTTTACAGTACCAGATGTTAACTAGCTTCCTATGGAGTGGGCCTCAACTCTGATCAGTGCCCCTCTTATAGAACTATCTTTACTGCCCTGCACATCGTGTCTGCTGCATCAGTAGTGTTGTGCGCAAGTCCAGAAAGTTTATTTTAAAGGCTACATACATAGCCAGGGCTCAAATAACCCAGCATAAAAGCACAAGCTTAGCATTCTTTTGAAACATGGTTTTGAAATTATACTTATTTTCTGTTCTGGAGCATGTGTGCCAAGACAGGTCTGTGAAGGTTGGAGACCACCTGCAAAAGTTGGTTCTCTCCTCAGCCATGTGGGTTACAGCAATGGAACTCAAGGAATCAGGCTTGACAGCAGGCACTTGACCCTCTCATCAATCCACCAGCTTTAGCCTTCTCAAGCTCTGGTCCACAGGAAGCGGACCTGCTGGAGCTCTGGCAAAGCAAAGTGGCTAAAGCAACAGAGGTTTACTTGAACTGTTACTCAGTGGCTAATACAACAGAG